GGTAGATTCAGTCAATGCAGCCTATTCGAGTATTACCAAACAGGCTCTAAAGTAGCATAATGTTTCATAGTTAACGTACATTATCAAAATATTAAGATAGTCATAACACACAAAATTATAACACACAAAATTACATACGAAGTATATATTTCATTCTACAATTCTAAAAATGTACCTTATTAGGTAACAATGAGTCATATTAATTTCACATTTAACAATTATTTGATCCATTTTTTCATTTAATAATGGCGAATCATTTGAATTAACGCCCGATTTACTTCCGGTGCTCCAAATTTCTTTAAGTCCGAATACAATATTGAAATATCTTTTCATCCTAAATCTTAAAATATTGAAAAAAAAACTATTCATAAATATCATTTAAAAAAGGCTGAAATTTCCCACTGCTACCATTGGTCCGCTTCGTTCTTTAGGCTTCATACTAGCTTTTGGTCTAAAATATATATAATATATATAGTATTTTTTTTAAGGCACACGGGTCCCGGGACCCCATGGGACTCTTAGTGGGTCCGCTACTGCCCATAACATAACAGGAAATGGGGACGGAAATAACATAATAATATTAAAATTAATCTAAACGGGGGCGGGAACTATAGACAAAATTTATCTGAAAAACTCTGAAGTTGAACTCTTTTTGATGTACGGTTATCTCCCTAGTGTAATACTTCTTTATTTAAATATTTTTGTCACTTGAAATCTAAGGAAAGACATCACCTATTTATATGAATAATTTGGACCGTCATATACGTTCCTTGTCACTTTTAGAAGGTGTCTTATTAAAACAAATGTCCCATGACAAGGATGAAATTTGCTGCGTCACTATTCTTCCAAGTTCTTTAAGTCACGAGTCATCAATAGATTATCAACTTAAATTAATAAAAATTGGACAAATTGAAATAAACTTATCGTGGTTGCTTATTAAGTTAACGTTATCTCACTTTTCATGCTATTGTCTTTTAACCATTTGAAATTTACATACGGTAATAATTTCATAAAATAAGATTTAAGAGTTTTCAGTAAATTTAAGAATAAGAAATAATTAGGAAGAAAATCCCAATTTTGACTGAAATATAATCATTTATTTAACGTGATGTTATAAATTTATCTGTATCTAGTCTTAACAATTAGACCCGATTTTGGGGCGTTACAATATGTCCTCAGTCTCCTATTTCTATCCCTAAAACCTAAATTTATCCCCATCTTCTCCAACAGTTCACCCAAAAATATATGGTTCATCAGCATGTATTTACAGGTTGTCAGCGATGTAAGGTAAGGAAACATGAAGTGAATTCACTTTTGGGAGTCAAAAAACAATTTGTGTGGATGAATGTTATGGATTGAAGTGAATTCACTTGTGGTTTTTATGTGTATTTACAGGTACATGCATGTGGATGTTTGTATGGAAAGATGATATGAGTTCAAGTGAAATGGTTGAAAGTGAGAAAATGAAAGAAAACTCATATCGCACTAGGTCAAAAATTTGGGTACTTCAAAGAGAAGTCAAATGTCTAAGGTATATAATTGAGAATGAAGTGAAGCAAACAAAAATAGTGAGGAAATTGTATGTGTTAATTGCACTGGTACTTTTTGTCTTGGGTATATTGGTGTATCTCAATATAAGAAAGTGTAGTGTGTAGTTAAATGTGTGTATAGGGTGTATGTGTTTATCTGATTTATGGTCGTGTCTCCCTTTCCTTAGAAACTGTTGTTTTGAATGTGTGAATGTGCTGTTTTGGTTATATCCTGTTTACAAAGTGTTGGCATATTGTTTATCATACATACAATATCACTACATACATCTTCACACATAAACGTAAATCAACATAAACCAAACCAATTGTGCTTGTACATAAAAACACCGTACCACAAGTTCATCACCATACACCAAAAGTCAAGATATGTTTTGTCCTTGCTGCTTACAAATTGAGCACGCCATGACCTTACCCTTTTTAGTAAGTTTTGCTTCATAAGGTTGGCCTTCACTCTCTTCCCTCACTCTTTTCGATCTTCCTAGGTTTGCCACTCATTTTTTTTACATGGGGAGAATTTCTTCGTGTTCAGTTGTAGGCCATAAAAGTTATCCATTTACAAGATGCATGTCCTATTATACATTTCTTTTGAGTGACACCTATCCATGTACACTCTAGCTTCTCACCCCAATCAAATGTGGCACAAATTGCGTGTGCACAAGGAATTTCACACAAATCTCATCTCTTCAAAGAGCATGACATACTATTTAGGTTACTTCTGAATTGTTGTGTCTTTCTTGATCTCATATCCTTTATAACCATTGAAATCTACATGTCAACCTGAACTTGCAAGAATATTTTTATTCAACTTCTTCATTATGATTGACCAAAGTTATATGACAGTAAACAATATATAAACCCTAGTTAAGCCATCCAAGTGTATCGCATAAAACTTCAAATACATCCTTAAAAACACCATACAGCCAGTATTGCATTTCAAATACACCCTATAAATACATCACACCGCTCAATCAAGCCCTCTGGTTCAATCGAAATATCCAATTAAGACTTGTAAGTATAATATATTTACATGAGTTTACCTACCCACTTCTCCACATATTCATCATTGCAACCCTTATATCTTCCAGCATTAGTATGAGAGGCTTCTCTCTACATTTTCAGTAAAGTTGTATTAAAAAGCTTCTCAGAGATTGTTCTACACCATGACACATTTTTCATCATTTCTAAAGAATGTCTTACATCACAACTGGAATAAGTATTTCATCAAGCACATTTGTTTGCAGCTTCACCGTGTGCAACATTCTCTAACTCTTACAATGTAGCTTGCATTTGCACTTGTGTTGTTGACCTTACGCACTTCCAGCAGAGTCGGATCTCCTAAGCGCCATACACCTATGCGTTTTGCTCCGGTTCGCATGGATATGGCGAGCACAATTTCTAAGCTCAGCCTCAGTGAATCCCTGCACAATAACATTGGACAAACCCTGCACAAGTATGACAAATGTATAAAATTGGTAATTGGTTACTCTACATTTGAATTGTAGTGGAATTGCAAAAATGTGCGGGAAATGTTAAAACAATTGGACAATAAATATGGGATACCTCTGGTATGTTGATCCGAAATGATAGTTCATAGGTTAGGTCTATGAGTCTATCTATCTCCAAAAACCACGTCTAGGAAAGGTTATTATTAATTTCAATGACAACCCACGTAATGGGATACATTTGATTATTGACATCTCAACGGCAATTAAGATCTCACCCTTCTACTGATCTTTGAATCAACATTCATCTAGCCCACTAACCTTTTTAAACCCTTCAATAAACCCCTTTCAATTAATTAACTAGACGAAAATAGATGTAGATGTGTTCGAACACAAAAGGATCTTCAAGTACAATTCTTGCAGTTTTGATCACCACAATGCTATTTGGGATGCATTTCAGACACTTTTCAGCATATTTCCAAAACTTTTTAAGGCGTCCTTTAAAGGAAATTTGTGTTTTCTCATTAATGGCACTCAAAACCCTCATAGTTGTACTAATAGAGTCATTAATTTTCAAATCAACTTTGATGATGTTCCTCAAATTAACATCACCAAGGGAAATGATTTTATGCAACCTTCTCCTCAAACCTATCAGCCAACCATTTCTGACTAACCACTCTCAACTTAAACTTTCAATTGCATTTGTATGTCGATTTTAAAATTTTTACTTGAAAAGCATCTTAAGGTATTTTCCCAAGTAGCAGTGTAACTATAAGGGCAATGTGGTGTACATCTAATTTTGACTCTCTTAGGCTCATTTTTATAAAAACACACATTTTCAGCAATGGCGTATGAAATTATAGCATTCTTAAACTGAAGACCATATTCAAACAACATGTGTAGCTCTATTAATTGGTTGGTCAAATCAGGGTAAAATGAGGGATACCTGGCCTTTTTTGTTTTTTTTTTCGTTCAAGTCATCTAATTCTTCTTCAGATTGTGTGGGCAAGAGGGATGTGAGATTCATACTCCACACTATCTTTTGATTCATAATCACTCTCACCATTTGGGTTTTCGTGCTTACCTTGACTACCATTGACCTCCCTGGTATACTAATGTCTTCTTAACATCTCTGACAAGTACAAACTCTTTATTCTAGATTTCATCCCTTTTATCTCCCATACCAGTCTCATTATCTTGAAATTCAACTTCAAACAATGTCACACTCATATCCCGTTCTTCATCTACTTCCAGACCACTTTGTCTTTCTTGTTCATCTTATTCAGAGCTTTTGATTATTATCAGCAAATGAGCCGCTATCTTCATCTTGAATGTAATGTATTCCATTTTATAATTCACCTTTTGCAGTATCTATTGTGGTGTCAGAAATATGGTTTTGGATTTTCTTCTTTCGCCGCTTCGTTTGATACGGGAAAGGGGGACAACTCTAGCAATTCAACCTTGTTATACTGTGATTGACTGGGCCTGGGACCGGTTCGGATCCTAGGCAGAATACATGGAACCGTTTGAAAATATGAAATTTTAATAACGGTTCAGTTCTTATATTTTTATAGAACCGATAAGGAACCAAACCATCCTTAACGATTCGATTCTTGTCATTTAACGGTTCCTAGTCTCTAAAAAAATTACAAACCACGATTAAATTTGTGTAAAAAAGACATCAACATTTGAAATTACAATACAAATATGCTAAACATCATTCCAAACCTCAAAAGTTGAGTTTAAAACATTAATACATAACAAACTGGAAAGTTTAGTAAATAAAACAAAACAATATATTCACGACAAAATATCAACAACATAAGTTGCCGGCAAAAAGTTCATTCAAAAAGTCCACAAGCAAAGCACTCAATTCCAAGCAGGTGTACCTGAAAAAAGAATATTAAATTAATAAAGACATAAAAATGCCAACAAAGCACACATCTGGACACATTTCCCACTTCAAGTCTCTTTCCTTGCGCTTACTGCTCTTTATTTTCCCTTCTTTTCCCTTTCTTCTTGCTCAAATTCTTCATTAATCAATAATAAATAAATGAAACTTGAATCTTGAATCTCGAATCATACAAATAGTGAATCATATAAATACAATACATATTGAAACTTGAATCATATTGAATTGAAAATTCAAAACACTACAATAACTCTTGGGTGAGGTACCTTATTTGGTTGTCTCAAACCACTCCATTTCCTCAAGACTAGGAGAATACGCTAGATTCGTAATTGAATCTGACTTCAGCTAATTCTGTAGACAAATCAATGCCTCAACTAATCTAGGAGTTAAAGAACTCCTGTGAGGATAAATGATTCTCTTTCTTGTGCTAAAACTAGACTCTAAATCAACTATACTAACTTGAATTGCCAAAATATCTTTAGCCATAGCTTGTAGGGTTGGGTACTTTATTCCATTCAGCCTCCATCATGTCAAGATATCAAATTCATCACTATATTTTTCCATAGGATCGAGAAGGTACCCGTCTCCTTTTCCCAATCATCAAACAACATCGCCTTTTTCCAGATTTTTTTTGTATTCCTACAAATAGGTTAATTAATAAAGAGTTAAGTAAACTGATTATATTAAGATGATTAACTACTTACATTTATAAAAGTTTCACAATCTTAGATATATAAAAATATAAAATTATAAAACAAGTTAATACCCGCGAGTGCCATTAGTGCTAACCAAATCAGCTTTTGTTGTGTTAGAACCTTGACTGCCTGTTCACCAATCAAATCAGTAAGTGAGACAATTATACAATCAGGAAAAAAATTGAGTTACATTGTATCGTATTAAATTTTACTACCTGTTGTATTAAAAAAATAGTACATGTTGTCGAGTCTGATGCATAATTGTCAATAAGTGTGACAATTAACTCTTGTAATTCAACAGTCATTTTCTAAAACCAGAGCAATAAGGAGCAGTTGGTTCATATCATCTACCGTATCAAAATACTTCATATATTTGGTCCTCATCTGTACTGACATATGAAACTTTATTTTGTCTCCGATTGATGGAGTATATGACCCAGGAACCCCCGGCCCATAGACTCCTACTTCTCCTACACAAGTCCATTGAGCTCAGGAAACGACTCAGGCCCAAATACAACGGCCCAAGCCTCAAAGCAGCCCAAAATACATATTACGGTGCCTTCGGCCTCCTTGGCCGAAGGCTCCAGAACTCACAGGATAGCCTCTTTGGCATAAGAAGCTGCTGGGAGAGAACGGGCGAAAACATAAGCCTTCGGCATTTTCATGCCCTCGGCATCAGAAAAGCCTTCGGCTGAACCAAGCCTTCGGCCACACGAGGGTCCTTACCACATGGATCCCTCGGCTACACGAGGAGCCCTCGGCTACACAAGGGGCCCTCGGCTACACAAGGGGCCCTCGGCTACACAAGGGGCCCTCGGCTACACAAGGAGCCCTCGGCTACACAACGAGCCTTCGGCTGAACTAGCTCAATCATCAAAGATTCCTTTTGGAGACAGCCAACCACCGCATTTAATACCACGTCACATCCGCCAACCGCATTCAATGCGGTTGACGTACCACTGCCGGTGCCACCAGGCTGATATGACCCTTCGGCCGTTGGATCACTGACACGTGTACTCTCATCGCATTTATTGCTGCTATAAATAGCAGCCCATTTCTCCTTGTAAATCATGATCAAAATCCCAACTCCGCATCTCGAGTTCATTTAATAAAATCGACTCTCTCTCCTCCCATTTGCTCTGACTTCTCTCTAAGTTATTCCCACAATAACCCCTCGGATAAGATACCCCCCGGGTAGACTATCCATCATTTGGTGCTCTCGTTGAGAGGTCTGAACTATCAAGTAAGAAACCCTCCCCCTCTACCAAACACAAAACACTTACCAAGAATGGGAAGAACCACCCGTGCCCAGTCCAAAACCCTTGAGGAGAACCACGTAGTCCCCGGCGAAATCAACGGGGCTGAGGCCTCCAACAGGTTCTTGGTACCCGAGGGTGGTATCATCCTCAAATTGGAGCAAGCTACCGCTGACCTCCGTCAGCAGCTGCAGAAGAACGCCCCTGATGCCCGCATTGGCCTTGATAATCGAAGGAGGGATCGGAGTGAGAACCAAGTTCCCCCTCCGGCCCCGGCCATCGATCTTCAGGCTGCCTTTGCGGCCTTTGTCCAAAATATGGCCCTCAATTCCGGAGCCCTCGTCTCTCAGGCTCCCCTTCAGCCTTACGCTGGAGGAAATGTTATTCAATTGCCACCCCCCCCTTCTGTTCCACAATCCTCCCCCAGGGACTGGCAACGCCGAGGGGGTCATAGCACAGGATACCGCCTCCCAAGAGGCCCAATCCAAGGACAAACGCCCCATGATGAGAGAGAAACCCCGAACCTCTGCACTTGAGAGGCTAGGGGGAGCTCCCGGGCACCGAGGGGCCCAAGACCGCCTCGGGAAGCAAGCGCTCAGCGGGCCGCAGGAAAGTGGAGCCTCCGCTTTGGGTGCCGAGGGCGTGCCTCCCCCCCGAAGCAAAGGCAAAGCACTCCTCCATGTTGACGACGCCAGACACCAAATCAATCAGGCGCAATCCTTCCGGGCCAGCTCCCAAGGGGTTGCCCCGAAGGATCCCAAAGACGAAATCATCGAGGCCCTCCTCCGTCAACTTGAGGAGAATCGACAGGCACCTCCGACGGCTTCCACAGCGAGGCCTGATCCAGAATACGCTGACCTCCGGGCGCAGGTGGAGGAAATGAAACGTAAGCTCGCCGAAGGCTCCGGCGAGCCCCTCATTCAGCTCCACACTAGGACACCTTTCACCCCAAGGGTGCTGGCGGCCAAAATCCCCCACAAGTATCGCGGGCAACCCATCAAGCCGTATGAGGGGAAGACGGATCCCCAAGAGCACTATAGCCGTTACCAAAACAGCATGATGATGATGGGGGCATCGGATGAATACTTATGCCGTTGGTTCCTTTCCACCTTGGAGGGGCCCGCGTATGAGTGGTTCAACCGGTTGCCCGAAGGCAGCATTGATTCTTGGCAAGAACTTGCCCACCGCTTCCTTACACAATTTGTAGGGAGGCATCGCTCAAAGAAACACTTCTCCCACCTCCTAAACGTGAGACAACAGAAGGAGGAAACCCTTCGGAGTTTCCTAGAACGCTGGAGGCAGGCCTCCCTCGAGGTCGAGGGTGCTGATGACAGAACCTTGATGGCCCTCTTCCACACCGTCCTCCGCAACGGTAACTTCTCTCGGAGTCTTATCACTGATCCCCCCCGCGATTATACGAAGGCCCTTCAGCGGGGGGACCGTTATGCTGAAGCAGAGGAAATCGAGAAGGACCGCCGCAACACGGATCCTTCTCAGAAGAATGAGGGCAGGAATCGGCCCGGAGGGCCTCCCCCTCCGGTCAACCGAGAGCCCCATTACAATGATCGCTCCCGAGGTGGCCAAGCCAGACCCGGGGGCGGTTACAAGAATAATCCGAAGGCGTGGGCGCAACCCGTCCTCCTTGAGCACCCACGCACTCCCTTGACGCATCCCGTCAGCGTCATTCTTGATCATGCGGAAGAGCGGGGGCTCGTTGAGCGAGACTCCCGCACACCCCTCGAGATTTATGCCATCGGTCCTGATGAGCCCTACTGCCGCTTCCACCGCCACCATGGACACAAAACCGACGACTGCCATCAGCTGAAGAACGCCATCGAGAAGCTGATACAGGCGGGCCACTTGTCCCAATTTATCAGGGGCCCTCCGCCCCAGGGTCCCCCTCATCATCAAGGCCCTCCGCCGAAGGCAAACAAGTGGGTGAACCCCAACACCATTCCCTTGGGAAACCCGCATGGGAAGAAGCGTGAGATTGGCGGCCTCGAAGACGAGGGGGAGGGCTCCCATCAACAGTACAAGCGCCATATTCACATGATTAACGGCGGCAACACTGGTGGAGACTCCACCAGCCAACGGAAGAAGTGGGCACAGTCCCTTTACATTGGGGAAGTCAATCACATACCCCCAACTAAACGGCCGAGGGCGGATCCAATTTTCTTCACAGATGCGGACCTCCCCTCGGGTTCTCTGCCGCATAGGGATGCCCTCGTCATCCGCACTGAGATCAACGACGCCATCATCCACCGGACTTATGTCGACACGGGGAGTTCTGTCAACGTCATGTATCTCAGCACTTTTCAAGAGTTGGGACTCGACAGGGGGTCCCTTCGGCACATCAACACCCCCCTCTCCGGATTCACGGGGGACAGCATCGACGCCGAGGGCGTCATCACACTCATGGTCGAATTCGGCGACGGATCCCATAGAGCCAAGCTCGAAGTGGAGTTCGTCGTCGTCAACCTCGACTGCGCACATAACATCATCCTCGGCCGGCCTGCCCTCGAGGATTTGGAGGCCGTCATCTCCATGAGGCACCTCTGTCTCAAGTTCCCCACACCTACCGGCATCGGTTACTCGAGGGGGAATCAGAAACTCTCCAGGGCCTGCTACCTTCAGCTTACCAAGAAGGTTAGTAAAACTGAATTTCGAGTTGACACCATCACCACCAAGGCCTTAGAGGAAGAAGAAGGCAGGCCGAGGGCTGAGCCTGCCGAGGAGACCGAAGACTTGATACTCGATCCGGCCAAGCCGGAGAGAGTCCTGAAGATTGGAGACAAGCTCCCCGAAGACTTGAAGGCTGGCATCACCAAGGCCCTCCGCGCCTACTCCATTGTTTTTGCATGGGGACCGGAGGATATGCCAGGAATTGACCGAAGGGTTATCACCCACCGCCTGGCGGTGGACCCTTCGGCCAAACCAGTGCAGCAACGAAGAAGACCCCTCTCGGCCGAGAGAAGGGAGTTCGTGAAGAAGGAGGTATCTATGCTCCTCTGCATCAAACACATTAAGGAGGTGAAATACCCTTCTTGGTTGGCAAACGTAGTCCTCGCACAGAAGCCTCCTACCTTCCGCATGTGCGTGGACTACACTGATCTGAATAAGGCGTGCCCTATGGACCCCTTCCCTCTGCCAAACATTGATCAACTGGTGGATGAGACCACGGGATGCGAGATCATGTCATTCCTCGACGCGTTCCGCGGATATCATCAAATCTACATGCATGAGGAAGACGCTGAAAAAACCGCCTTCATGACACCCGAAGGTATCTTCTGCTACCTTGTGATGGCCTTCGGCCTCAAGAATTCAGGCGCCACCTACACCCGAATGGTGGCCAGAGTCTTTCAAGCTGTCTTGGGGCGCACTATGGAGGCCTATGTTGACGATATGATTGTCAAGAGCAAGAAGGCCGGCACTCACGCCGAGGACCTCCAGGAAATCTTCGCCATCATGCAAAAATTCAACCTCCGGTTGGATCCAAAGAGATGCACCTTCGGCGTACAAGGTGGAAAATTCTTGGGCTATATGGTAAGCCGAAGGGGTATCGAGGCCAACCCCGAGAAAATTCAGGCCATCATCAATATGGAGCCTCCGCGCAACGTCAAAGAAGTTCAACGGTTGACGGGTCGCCTGGCGGCCCTCAACCGATTCCTCTCTAAGTCGGCCGAGAGGGCCCTCCCCTTCTTCCAAATCATGAGGAAGACAACTGGCTTCCAATGGACATCTGAGTGTCAAGAGGCCTTCGACGAACTTAAGAAGTACCTCTCTTCTCCCCCGGTGCTCTCCAAGCCGAAGGTGGGGGAGACCTTATACTTATACCTCGGCGTTAGCCCTGCGGCTATCAGCTCAGTACTAATACGAGAGGAAGACGGCATCCAACATGCCATCTTCTACGTCAGCAAAACCCTCCGGGAGGCCGAACTCAGATATTCTCCCGTCGAGAAGACGGTGCTAGCCATCGTTTGGACCGTCAAGAAGCTTGGCCACTACTTTCAGGCTCATCCGGTCCAAGTGCTCACTCATCAACCCCTCGGCGCCCTCATGAGGAGTCCCACTAGCTCCTCTCGGATGGTGAAATGGGCCATCTTCCTCAGCCAATACGACATAGATATCCGTCCGAGGCCTGCCATCAAGGGCCAAGCCCTGACAGACTTCGTAACGGAATGCACCGCAAGATCAGCGGTGGATGAGGAGCCTTCGGCACCCCTTGATGAGTGGTGGACCCTCTATACCGACGGCTCCTCGGCTACCAAAGCATGCGGAGGGGGAGTAGTTCTCATCACACCCGAGGGCTTCCGCGCCTATTATGCCATCCGCTTCTCCTTCAAAGTCTCCAACAACGAGGCCGAGTACGAAGCCCTCCTCTGTGGCCTTCGGCTGGCAGCGAATCTGAAGGCTAAAATGATCCACGTCAAATGTGACTCCAAACTCGTCGTGGGTCAAATTTCCGGAGAGTACGAAGCCAAAGAAGGGAGGATGAAACAATACAAGGAGGCCGCCAAGGAGTTGCTTAAGGTATTTGAGGCACATTCTCTTACCCAAATACCGAGGGCTCAAAACTCTGAGGCCGACATTCTATCCAAGCTCTCGGATGAATCCCCCGAGCACCTCTCGAAGATTGCAAGAATTGAGGAACTCAGCCTCTCAAGTATCCACGCAAGCCCCGTCATGAGCCTTAACCTAAGGCCGGAGGATTGGATCTCCGACATCGTCACCTTCATCACCACAGGGCAACTACCCCAGGACGAAGCCCGCGCCAAGTTAGCTAGGCTGAGGGCTCCCAGCTACACCATCGAAAACGGGAGGCTTTACAAGAGATCTTACAACGGCACCCTCCTTCGGTGCCTTCATCAAGATGAGGCCGAAGTCGCCATGGAGGAAGTGCACAGTGGCACTTGCTCAGCTCACCAGGGACCCTTCTCCATGTCCCGAAGGCTCGTGGTTCAAGGCTACTTCTGGCCCACAATGGCTAGAGATTGTGCTGATCTAGCCCGAAGGTGCACCGCTTGCCAACACTTTCAAAAGGCCCCCGGCAGACCAGCGGTCAATTATGCTCCCATCAGCACCGCCATACCCTTCTCCAGATGGGGGATTGACTTAGTAGGCCCTCTTCCGAGGGGTACCTCCAACAACAGATATATCATTGTGGCCATTGACTACTTCACCAAATGGGTAGAGGCCGAGCCCCTCGCCAGCATCACTGAAGCCCGGTGCCGCCACTTTGTTCTCAAAAATATTCTCACGAGGTTTGGCGTCCCCCAACAAATCATTTCCGACAACGGCACTCAATTCGAGGCAGCCCCCTTCTGCGCCCTCCTTGAAGCTTGGGGCATCAAGCACACATTCTCTTCCGTTGCCTACCCTCAGGGCAACGGGCAAGTAGAGAATGCCAACCGCACCCTCCTCGAGGGGTTGAAGAAGAAGCTGGAAGCCGAGGGGGGAGGCTGGGTAGAAGAGCTTCACAACATCTTGTGGGCCTACCGCACAACCCCTCGGCGTGCAACGGGTGAGACACCCTTCTCCCTATGCTATGGCTTTGAGGCTAAGGCTCCAACAGAGGTTACCCTTCCTACCCGAAGGGTGGAGCAATATGAACCCGAGGTCAACGACGCCAGCATGGCCCTCGATCTCCACCTCATCTCAGAACGCCGGGAGCAAGCCTTCCTCAGGGCTGAAAACTATAGAAGACAGGTCAAAAGCTACATTGACGCCAAGGTCCGCTCCCGGGAATTTCAAGTGGGTGACTACGTCCTCCGACGAAGGGAGGCCAGTCTACCCACCGAAGGAGGAAAGATGGCGCCCAAGTTTGAAGGCCCCTACATCATCTCAGCCATCATCAAACCAGGAACATACAAACTAAAACGCCCTAATGGGACAGAGGTCCCTAGACATTGGAATGTGCACCACCTAGTTAAGTTTTATCAATGAGCGGCCAAGCCCTCATCCTCAACAAGTGTAAATGATCAAGGGTCCAAGGCCCCATCTGTTTTTCAAGAATAATCAAAAGGCCAAGCCTTCATCACCTACATACCGTACAAGCGGCCCAAGGCCCCCTTCTCTCCTACAAATGAGTGGCCAAGCCCTCATCTCTTCACCATGAAAGGCCCAAGGCCACTCCCTCTTATGAGGGGGAACAACAATTTAGGTACCAAGTACCAAGTGTATGGGTCACCCCCACCACCCTTTGAAAACACCAAGTGTTTTCTCACTAAGCCGTACCCCACGAGGACGCAGTCATGCATACATTATGCATACTTTTACATACTCAAAAAAAAAACAAAAAAAAAAACAAAAAAAAAAAAAACCGGGGGGTGCAACACCCCTCGGCTCCGGCTGGTACCAAGTGCCCCCGGCTATTTGTGTTCCACACACAGATAAAACCCTTCCCAGGAACGCTTTCCGCGCCATCCCCCAAGGGGAGGCAGGCAACGGACCATGTCCCGGGCCCAGGATTCGACTTCCACAAACGAAACGCTCCCCGCGCTATCCCCCAAGGGGAAGCAGGCAACAGACCATGTCTCGGGCTGAGGGGACGACTTTCAAAATCGAGGCGCTTTCCGTGCTATCTCCCAAGGGGAAGCAGGCAACAGACGATGTCTCGGGCCGAGGAAACGACCCTCAAACCCTTCGGGATATCGGAAGGTCATTCCCGAAGGGGGAGCCAACGGTTTATTCCGTTGCCTCCCATATAGGCCAAGCCTTTCCTAGAAACCAAGTTTCTAGATGCCTCTCCTACACCATCTAAAAAAAAAAAAAAGATGTGTAGGGGGGAAGGAACTCCCCGGATACTATTCTCCCCGGAGGCTCAACACTTCGGGTACTTATTCCCGAAGGCTCCTACAAAGGCGCAAGAAAATATCTCGACAACAAATCATCTGGCTACATAGCCGAAGGATTCACTACATTAGGCCCTGAAGTGCAAGAATTCCCCCGGGGGCCCAAGATGAAGGCTCACTAGCAAAACTTCACCTAAATTTGGCTAAGTCCGAGATTCAGCTGAATCAAAGCCAGCTATGTTCCATGCCGAAAGCTACACGAAGTCCTAAGGCAATTCAAACCTACACAAACCATGAGCTGGAGGGTTCACCGAGGGGTCAAACCTTATGGCAACCGAAGGGTCAATAACACTTATGGCAACTTTGCTAATGGCCATCAACCGAGGGCTACGCACGAGATCTATGGGAGACTGTCTCAAAATTTCACCAAGTCCATAATCTTGAACCCCTCGGCAACTGTACACACTGGGGGCTCAAGCAATTCTCGCATTCGAAGGATCGCTACAACACCTGTTGAAAGTTTGCGGAAAAATGACTAAGTCCACGATTGGGAATCCTTCGGCAGACAGCCGTAGGCCCCACTATGGCCCACAGGCTTACAGCCGAAGAAGGCCTCAAACTATTTGACGAGGCCCTAAAGCTACACCAAAGCTACACTATTAATCGAAGGCTCAGCATTTCCGGGGGCCCAAGATGCAATTTCACCTAGTGAAATTGCTAAGTCTAATTCATTTTAGCCCTCGGTCCTATCACTTCACCCCGGAAGTATTACAAGGATTCTTTACCGGAGTTTGAATTTACTTGGATTATTTTCTGAGATTTTGCTCCAATCCGAAGGGTCCTAACAGAGGTCTGGCTTAGGAAAGTATCTAACTCCACAACGACGAGCCCCCCGGCAACCCCGGAATACTACTGAGGGCCCATGATTGGGTTTACACTTAGAGAATTTCCTAAGCCCACAACAGCGACCCCCCGGCGATCCTACTCTACAACCGGGGGCTAGGAAGGAGTTACACTTATAAAGAATTTCTAAGTCCACAAATTTGTGGCCTCCGGGAAAGCAAACATTCATTCAAGAAAGGAAAAATCACTCATATGCAAATACAAAAAGAAGCGAGAGCATACATTCAAAGGCGAAGGCTAATACTATCAAACGAGGGCAACCACTCATTAAAGAAGCCCGGAGGCATATCACATTCATTGAAAAAACGAAACAGAGTATTAACAAGGATGCTTGTTTACAATTGGTCGAAGCCTATGAGCTATTACAAGTCAAAAATTTCAAAGCAGCATCAAACTTGGGCGCTCCCAGTTGCGTCTTCCTTAGCCTTTGAAGTAGCATCATCCTCAATCTCCTCTTCATCATCAGCCAAGTTGTACTCCCTCATCAGCTCAGAGTCCGCGAGTTGGACCCTCTCCTCTCCCTCCGGAAGGGGGACCCTCACATCAGGCTGCCGAGGGGGGAGACCATAGGCCGAGGGGTCAAATTTGTCCTTGGGAATTTTTAAGTGCTCCGCCAGCTTCCGGTAGATGAGACGCTGAGTGAAGAACTCGCCCCCGTCGAAGTAATCTTTGCCCTTCAGGGCCATCCATTCAGACCCGGGGCCTTTCACCCAAGCATCAACACCCTGCTTGATGACCGAGGCTACCCATTCTTTGTGCTCCTCGGTTTTCCATCCCTCGGCGAGGAAGGAAGCAATGTCGTCTTCCCTAGCCTTGGCCGCGGCCTCAGCCTTGGCCTTCTCAGCTTCCTCGGCTGCTTGCTTTGTGGCCTCGGCAGCGGCTTTCTCCGCTTCAGCCTTCCCCTCGGTGCGAGCCTCCACCCTCGCGGCCTCCAGCTTGTCGCCCGCCTGCCTCAGGGCCTCCTCCAGCTCAGCCATCTTCCTGATGGCCTCGGTGTTCTTGATGACAAGCCTCTTGAGGGCCTCATCGTCTTCCGCCTTCCGGAGGCGAAGCTGCTCCATTCTCCGGACATATTCTCCGAAGGCCAGGCTAGCCTGCAAGCAGAGGAGGGACACTAAAAGTCAGAACCTGCAAGCAGGAAATATGTGAAAGTAAAGCATGTGTTTAGCGAAGGGAAGGAACTTACCGTGACTGAAGCCTCAAGTGCTTTCCGTTCGAGGGCTTCATCCTCAAACTTGCCGAGGGTCGAGCGGTCTAAGGGGGGAGTGGCGCCCTCCAGATATTCCTTTGGGTCGAGGGTTCCATGGACGATAGCAGTCCCCTTCTTAAAGGAGAACTGCACCGTCTCCTGCGGCCAAGCCCCCTCATCAAGGTCCACTAGATGAGAGGAGGAGGGCTCTTCAAGGATCACCAGGGGGGCACCCTTAACTTCATCGGTCCCCCTCAACTTCTTAGTTACCGGAGGCTTGGAGCCCTTCCCGGCATTCTTTCTCTTAAGCTCCCCAACTTGGGAACCCCCGGCACCAGCACCGGCATCAGCAGAAGGAACCTCCTTAGTGGACTCCTTATCTTCCGGAGTCTTATAAGCCCCAGCCTTCTTCAAGACTTCATCGACGAGGGGTTGATTTGCCGAGGGCCCCTCCTCCTTCTTCCTCTTCGGCACCTTGGCCAGTTTTTTGGACAACCGAGCGAAGGCTTGCACGTCCATAATATCACCTGCAAAAGACAAGGAGGGGTTAGAATCAGAGCTAATCAAGGAGAAATATTCTAAGTATAAAAAACAAGAGCCCTCAGCCACAACCTCCGGCGTTTTGATACCCCCGATCGATCAAAGGATATTTTTCGTCTTCGTCCCCCGGAAGGCGATATCGCCGGAAACCCAGCAGGTACAGCTCCTCAGGTGATGCCGCCTCCTTAATCGTAATCACTTGGTCGGAACCCTCGGGCTTCTTGGTGAGCTTCCTCCCCGCCTTATCGAGAGCTGCATTTCCCACCTTCGGATGCCTCTTGAAGTGATTGCGCAAGGCCCCCGGGAATGGATTTTCGGCCATTCGAATATAACAGAATTTCTCCTTCCATTCTTTATGGGAGGAGGGGGTCTCAGAGAAAAGCTTCCAGGCCGGGACCTGCTGCATATTGGCGTACCCTCCAGCGTGAGAATGGCCTCCCCGGCAGAGGTTGAAGGAGAGAAAGAATTGCTCCAATGTGGCGGTCACCCCCCGGCTGCGGCAAAGGGCCAGGAACCCCGCCAGATAGTAGTGGCTGTTCGGCGTGAGCTGGCAGGGGGCTAACTTCACGAACCGCAGGTACTCAACGACGAAGGGGTGGAGGGGGAATCTGAGCCCTAGCTCCACCGACAGCATGTGTACCGAGAAACACCCCTCAGGAGGATGAGATAGCAGGTCATTGGGTCCCGGTTCCACGACCTGTGCCGACGGCCCTACAAGCACCTGAAGAGCTTGATATTCGGCTCCCGAAGCCGAAGTCTTCACCTCGAGGGCGGCGGTATCCAAGTACGAGTGCCCCTCGGGTATCCCTACAGGCCGCCCGGCGTCGACGGCTGCCTGCTTCTTCTTTGGGGCAGCCTTTAGTTTCCTCTTTTTCCCAGGAGCAACCCTCAGGGGCTCCGGGTTCAGCGGCCGAGAACTGCTCGCTTCACCAGCACCGCGGGAGGGCAACACGGCAACCGTCACCTTCTGCCGCTCCTTCTCCTCTTCTTCCTCGGCCACTTGAAGCGCGAGGGCCATCTCTTCGTCCTCAGCCACCTGCTCGAACTCCTCGGCCTCAAGCTCGATCCGAAGGCTGCTCTGCACCTCCTGGGCTACGGCTAAATCATTTCCTGCCGATGGTTGCCCGCTGGAGGACTCCACATCCGAAAGGCTCTCGGATTGTATCGGGACCTCCTCCGATATGTTTTGTGAATCACTCTCGGATGACATAATTAGAGGGAATTGAAACTCTCGAAATGAGAGGGCTACTAAGGAGTGCTAACCGAGGGTTCCTAAAAGCTCCGAACACTAGATCTAAGGATGGGATAGCAAAATATGCTAAGAAAGCGATGAATGGATGAAGAACTGACCTTAAAAATCACGTTGGTCGAGGGCTGGAGTTTCTCTCTCTAGAAAATTCAGCAGAGCTTCGCTACAGTTTATGAACGCACAAGGAGGACTGAGCTCTGCCATGGGGTATTTATAGGCAACTGGGCCTCGAAATGTGGGCCTCGACTTGGAAAGCCCATCATTACGAACCTTCGCCTCAGCCAATGGGTGGCACCCGCCCACTTTCGACCAACAGGAGCATGCCACGTGTGCCCCTCTTCCAACGGCTCTATTACAACGGCCATATTTCCGAAATACCCGGATGCCCTCGGATAATAGCCTCCGCCTATCACCAACTACAGCCTTCGGTGATTACTTTCACCGGACACCTTCGAGAAAGTAGTAGTCTAAGCCTTCGGCTTATCGACAATTTCACTCCCAGTTAATGGCACCCCTCGGGGCTACACGCAAACGTCATAACTCCTTCAAACTGAACTTACCTTCGATCCAAAGGAGTGGGGGACTGGGATACACCCCTCGGGAATCACACACAAAATACACAAAGATTCCCAAGTGCAACAAATTCACAAGGCCTGCATACAGCCTCCGGGCAAACATCAAAGTGAAAGCCCCCGGATGCATACTTCTCTATACCCTTCGGCAGAAGCAAAATATCAAAAAAATTTCCACAAGTCACTTGTGATGATGAAGCAGCTTTCATCACTACACATGCATGCAATTCATCTATGCTTCCCTCAGAAAACCCTCGACATGTGGGGGACTGAGGGGAAGCCATCAGCGAATACCAGGAAAGCCCTCCGGTAAAGAGATTAGCCACCGGCGGAGACAACGCATCAACGCAATTACTCCTTTTCCCTCAAGTACCTTTCGACAAAAGGAGTGAGGGACTCCTGATGGAGTATATGGCCCAGGAACCCCCGGCCCATAGACTCCTACTTCTCCAACACAAGTCCATTGAGCTCAGGAAACGACTCAGGCCCAAATACAACGGCCCAAGCCTCAAAGCAGCCCAAAATACATATTACGGTGCCTTCGGCCTCCTTGGCCGAAGGCTCCAGAACTCACAGGATAGCCTCTTTGGCATAAGAAGCTGCTGGGAGAGAACGGGCGAAAACATAAGCCTTCGGCATTTTCATGCCCTCGGCATCAGAAAAGCCTTCGGCTGAACCAAGCCTTCGGCCACACGAGGGTCCTTACCACATGGATCCCTCGGCTACACGAGGAGCCCTCGGCTACACAAGGGGCCCTCGGCTACACAAGGGGCCCTCGGCTACACAACGAGCCTTCGGCTGAACTAGCTCAATCATCAAAGATTCCTTTTGGAGACAGCCAACCACCGCATTTAATACCACGTCACATCCGCCAACCGCATTCAATGCGGTTGACGTACCACTGCCGGTGCCACCAGGCTGATGTGACCCTTCGGCCGTTGGATCACTGACACGTGTACTCTCATCGCATTTATTGCTGCTATAAATAGCAGCCCATTTCTCCTTGTAAATCATGATCAAAATCCCAACTCCGCATCTCGAGTTCATTTAATAAAATCGACTCTCTCTCCTCCCATTTGCTCTGACTTCTCTCTAAGTTATTCCCACAATAACCCCTCGGATAAGATACCCCCCGGGTAGACTATCCATCACCGATGTGCACAGTTTTTAAATCATTTGTGTACATTTCCTCAATCTCAAATCTGATAGTCGCGATCTCAAAGAAAGCTTTATGTGCAGTTGGCTTGTTTGTTGCACTAACGGTTACAGTGGTATCGAATAACACTTTTCAAACTTCACAAACTGGACAACATTATCTCAATCGCCTTCCACCGGAGAACCAACTCTTTTTCAACCTTTCTAAGATATCGTGAAAACCCCCATGCTATCATCATCATCTTCTTCATCAAAATAACCAATATACTTTGCCTCCTCTTCCTCTGCCAACCTTTCAAATGCTTGTTTAAGCTCAAGCGCAATCTCAAGTATTATGAAGGTGGAATTCCACCTAGTTGGTACATCCAACACACAAACTTTTCTACTTTCCAACTCCTCTTTCTTAACGCATTCTTTGAAAGCATCAAATATAGAGGATGAGCTCCTAACATACCTCACTGCATTCCTATTTGAAACCATTCACTTTTCCATGCATATCATACCAGATTTAACGATAAGATTGACAATATGACCTAAACACCTAACATGGAGATACGTTCCACCAAACACAAGTTGTTTCTCACCATTATTTAGTTTTCTCTTTATGTAGTCTAATGCAACTTTGTTGGAAGATGCATTATCAACAGAAATTGTTAAAAGCTTCGTTATTGACCATTTTTGGATACACTTTTCTAAAATCTTTCCGATTGTTAAGCCTTGATGATTTGAAATGACAAAAAAATAAGAACCCTTTTTTGTGCATAGGCCAACTGATATCAATAAAATAGGCAATCACTACCATGTAGTTGACATTTTGGAGTGATGTTCATGTACATGTTGTTAAGCTCACACAATGATTCCTAAGATCTAATCTCAAATCTTCTTTCATTAAAGTATACATGCTTAGAAACATTTTAACAACAGTCTTCCTACGGTGAACTCTCCACCTAGGAAATGCAACTTTGCAAAATTTCCTTAACACCCTCCTTCTCAATTGCACTAAATGACATTTCATCTAAAACAATCATTTCTAAGTGTTTCTAAAGTGTACTAGACCCATTTTTGCTTGAGCCAAAGAGAAATTCACAAGAGCAATACTTACAATAAGATACCTGAGTGTGGCCAACTTGTACCTCTACACCTTCATCATTTTGTTGCATTAGAGGCTTGGTTTTGGTTTTATTTTATAGTGCTCACATACCCAAGATCTTTTTTCCTCTCCGCATTAATTTCACATTGCTTCCTCTTTCTTGATTTTGGGTTTGGTGGCTCATTTGATCGAACTGTTGTGGACTTATCTGAATTTGTAGCCATATCATCTACAGAATATACATGTAAACAATGACTATCAGACAGCCGAAATGTCAAATACTCAAATTAGTAAGTAAAACATAAGTTGATGAAATTAAAATAGCAGCAATTTAAGGAGCCAAACAAACAATAGCTTTCACTCCACTATATATGAGAGCAGGATCCTGCAAACAATTTAAGGAGCCAATCAAACAGTAACTATTACTCCACTATGAGAGTAGAATAATGCAAACAAACAGCAGTTCCATGAAGCAATCTCATATGTCTGTGTCCAAAAGTATATGGAGGATTAAAAAAAGATTTCTCTTAATTCCATGAAGCAATCCCATATGCATGTGCCCAAAAATATATGGAGGATAAAAAAAGGTTTCAGTTAGTCCCAATCCAAAAATAATCTTGCCCGGTGTGTACCCAAACCCATGTACATTCTTCTTTGGTTCTCCACTTGACGCTTCAGCCTCCTCTATGGGCTATACCTCTAAATTATGAGATGAGTCTTTCTAAACTCAAAGCCATAGTAGAGAAGTAAACATCAGTCGATTCAATAAAATAAAAAAGCGAATGAAGCTTACCTACGAGAGCAGGTTGTCGGTGAAGCCACGGAGAAGATGAAAGAGTAACAATTAATTAGGTTTTTGCCGAATACAATAAAACATCGTGACCTTCCGACCCTAAGAGGCTAAGAGTTTGGACCTAAAAGAGGCGTGACTCCTAAGAAGCCCAAGAGAACCGGTTACAATGAATAATAATTTCAAAAAAGTGAATATAATAATATAAAAATAAATAAGTAAATATACTTTATAATATATATACTAATAAGAAATATATAAAATTTTAATTATTATATACAAGGGTTCCTTGATTGTCACGTCCCGGATCTACCCGGACACGTCAACAACCCGCCGTACAACACGAATAGTCAACCAAAGTCAACCACATTCGTATTATACAAGGCGTCATGAATATCATTCACACATAAGTCATCCATAAACATACATAATAAACAATTCAATACGCAGCGGAAAACATAGTTTGAAATCAAATGCCACACAGAGCAAACATGAGCACGCAGGCTCTAAAGTAAAATATTCATGAGCATGTTTATTAATGTTCTAAAACAGAGTGGAGGAAGCACGAACCAAGTCTTCTCTCCGGGGAAATCACTTGAGCAATGAGCACAAGAAGCAAGCTCTAGCTTCAACCTGAAATGGTGGTGGGACGCCCCCGAAGGGGTCAGTACTCTATACGGCTATAAAGTACTGGTGTGACAGACATCTAATAGATATACAACAAGTATTTCAAACGCAAGACCCTCAAATAGGGTGATAGTACATTATGATTGTAACCCTAAGTTACCCCATTTGAAAATATACTTACTTTATATAAAAGTCAAGTAGTCGGCCCGTGGGCCCAAGTTCATTTAGAAATCACCATTCCAATTCCCCGTGACTATAAGCCACGACAACTCATAGAGTCCAACCCTAAAACATGACATTGTATTCTAGAGCTCCGCTCTATCACATCACCATACAATTCATGTCACTCGGGTCAATTTCCTTACTTTGCATTCTAGAGCACGGCTCTATCACATCACCATGCACTCCTTAGAGCTCCAACCCAATACATGACATTTTATTCTAGAGCTCCGCTCTATCACATCACCATACAATTCATGTCACTTGGGTCAATTTCCTCACCTTGCACTAATGTCCAATTCCTAAGCAAACTTATGCCTAGAATTGACATATCGATAAACTACCTTGGGTCATCCTTAAAGACTGCCTATAACATAACCTTAGCTTCATACTAAGTCATTATATACACTTGAGGTATATTCAAGTGCATTGCATACAATCCAATCTCTAGGATCAATTCTATCAACAATTTCCAATAATCAATAACTAGTATTTCAATACTATTAAGATTATTATTATCATACAATTATTCTCATTTTGTAATTCTCTACATATTTACAATTATGTAGCAGCAACTTAAGTATTCAACCTCAATACATAAATATTCATTTATGTATCCACATAATTCATACATGAGTAAAATGCCTATTTCACAAAATAGTTCATTTATAACTCATTTAATCTCATATTATTCATACATCCTCAAATCATTTCCAATTTCATTCTTTGGAAACTATATCAATATTTAATCAATATTTAATCATCATAATCCATGAAAAATTATGCTTTAGGCATTTAGGTAATCTCATGCTTAACCTACAAGTTGTAAGCAATTAAATGTCAATCCTCACCTCAAATGAGCTTTAAAACTTTCCTTCTCGATCCAATGACCAAAGCCTCGGCCAAGGAAGTTTGAGAACTGATTCCTTGCTTAGAAATGAGTGTTAAACAGCCTTCTCAAAGTGCTAGCTCAACCTCTAACCGTTGATACGAAAACAGCCCCTAGAATGGGTGTTTTCCGGCGAACTCGTTTCCTAGTTTTTCCATGGTTTTCTCTAGGTTAGTATCTAACCTTTACATCAATAAAATAATCTTATAAGGACATATTATACACTTGGAATAATGTATAATAGTTCCACAAACCGTCCATATCATATGGGAAATGAAAAGGAACGTTTTGGGTTCAAACTTACTATAAAGAGGCAAATCCATTTCTGCGAGGTTGTGTATTGTTTCAACGATTTGGAAGTCTTCCACTACTCCGTTCGCTGCAAAACGTACCTTCACAGATTCCTCTTCTTGAGATATTTCTTTGGGCACCTCACACGCCTTATTTGGATAAGTATAGCTCGAGATATGAACCAAACAAGCAAACCAACGCACTGGAAAATGAACCTGCGGCAACTTCCCTTTTCTCTTGCTTTCCTGGTTGTGTGGATCTCTCTTCTCCCTTATCCTTGGTATTTCGAATGAGGGGCTTATAGGAGTGTCTAAGACCCTTCAATAAGGTTGGATAAGTGGTGTGGAGTGAAATGAATTGGTATGGTCTCCATGAGATGTTTTTAGACATGAGTGGGTCTCACTTTTGATCTCTTTGTCATGTGCAGCCCTTAAGTCTAACATATGGCCGCCCCTCCCCTCATCTAACCTGATTTTTATTTGTCTTGCAGGTGCTTGGAAGTTGTGGGGTGGTTTCCAAGTGATCCCAATTAATTTGGGGGCCAAAATATCAACCAATACCTCCAAAAATGGAAAGATGGGTCCTATTGTTTTATCCTTTGTCATAAGATGTCTTTTTGTACCCATTCCAATTTATTTAGACCAAGTCAACTTTATACATCATATCATTGATTTCCAATATATGTAGACTCATCCCAATAATTTATATGATGAAGATTATAGAAGAAAACCCTACTCCCATCGTTTAGCTCAATAATGTCAAAGATGGGACCATAGGCATTTGTATTCTTCCCTAATCATCATATCACTTATTTATGACATTAGTATTTATATTCTTGGGCTACAAGCCGTGTGGGTCACCCTCGAGTGGGCCTAGGACGTCATTCTTGAATACTTACTATTTTTAGCAGGTTGGGCCCAAAATAACGTTTGGGCTGCCCAACCTTTCTCAACTTGTCTTGAAAGGTTACGTATCATTATTTAGATAATGTCGGGCTCTTATATTTATTAAGAAGGCCCAAATAAGTATTTGAGAGTCCATCACTTATATACGAGTTCAACCAGTACAATAATCAATCAAGCACTACGTAAAACATTAATCGTTTTACAATTGTTTGAAACAATAGGAAATTCAATACATGAATTGTATTATTCATTTTTTTTAAACGAAATTTTCAGGTACGTCCGGGTGCGGTGTCACATTGATGGTTCCAAGTACATATTTTTTTCAGGAACTGAGAATCGAACCGTTAATAAAAAATAGAAACCAAACCATTAACAAATAACTAATACATGTTGGAACCGAACCGAACCGGGTCATAACGGTTCGGTCCGGCTCGGTCCGTTTCGTTTCTCCGGTTCTTGGTTCCAAAATCCCAGCCCTATGATTGACACATTTTCTTGCCAAATCAATTAAGTCAAGTGTTGACTCATCATTAAATAATTCATGCAACATGTCCATAGAGTCCTCTGGTTTTTTAAAATACAATCCCCCAATGTTCCCATACGACATGCTTTTACAAACATCAGAAGGTGAGAGTAAGATATTAGCATTGATGAATGCACTGAAGAGTAATAAAGAATGTTCCTATGTGGTGAATAAACAATTTAACTCTTTCAACACATGTTGTGCATATTAATAAAATGGATAAAGGGTCAAATAGGTACATGAACTAACTTAAAGTGTTCAATTAGCCCCTAATATAGGAGGTTCTACCCGGCTGTCGCCAATTGGGGTGGTTCCCGGTGGAATTTTTTGATGAAATTTGTTGAGCATCTTCTTCATTAAGTCTAGTTTACCCATACCAAATTTCAGCTAAAAATTCAACCGGGAAGGCAGTCAAATGAGTTTTTGAAGATAACTGCGCAGTTAAACAACGCAGTACATTTCGGAAAATCATTTGACTGTCTTCCCGATTTTATTTTTAGCTGAAATTTGATATGGGTAAACTAGACTTAATTAAGAAGATTCTAAAAAAAAATCATCAAAAAATTCAACCGGGAACCGCCGCAATTGGCGATGGCCGCGCAGAACCTCCTATATAAGGGACTAATTGAACACTTTAAGTTAGTTCATGTACCTATTTGACCCTTTAGCCTGATAAAATTCATTAGTACATGTATAAAAATGAAAAAATGAAAAAAATAACATCTAAAACATCCACAATGGCTCTAAACAACTACAAACACGAATTAGTTACAAGTTAATTACGCTGAAGAACCCCGAACACAAAAACATTACCAACGCCCCATTAACATCTAGACTGAACGATTCTGAATTCCGAAGTGAGGACATTACCTTGATGCACAAACAACTAGCGCGTGAGGTCCTTTAGTACCATGCATACTCTGTTCAACGTCCCAGAAAGTGTAGAAAATGGTGAAGTAATCGTTGTACGAAGCGGGCTCGGGGAAGGTGACCGTTCTGTAAAATTAAGGCTGATGGTGAATGTGAATTGAAGAATGTACCGTTGTCATTTAAGTAATTACCTTTGACCTATTAAAGCCACATAAGCAATCACATCACCTACTTATATCACTAACTGGTGCTTTACCTGTTAGATTAGAAAATTGAACATTTTTGTAAACTTGACGAGTTCAATTGAGGGTGTCTTTGTTAGAGGACTTAATTGACTTTTTCAATACACTTAGAGAGTCTATTTAACAGTTTAGGAAACTGTCAAATAAGGTGTTTTTCAATTGAGTGTTTTTCTAAGATTGTATTCTATTGGCTAAAGGCTCAAATTGGCCCGGCTACCCATTCAGAATGCTCAATTCGCACCTTAAACTGTAAAAAGATTCAATTCATCCCTTGAACTCGACAAAAAAGTTCAAATCTCATTTTTTGCAGGTAAACATCCGGTCAAATACGCCCCTGAACCCGACAAAGTTGTTCAATTTGCCCCCTCAACTGTAAAAAAGTGTAAGAATTGCAAAAAAAAATGAAAAATAGAAAATGTAAATATAAAATAAGATACACGTTGAAAATATAAAATATAGACATCCTATTAAATACTACATAATATAATAAGGATTTATTTATATTCGTGGTAAGAGCATATAAAATAAACCAAAAAATAAATTCATTAAAACTATTTTGATATTTTAAGTCTATTTTTTAAAAATTATCAAGGCATACATGTTTTTACCAATTAAAATTAAATATGTTTTTGTGTATTATATGTAATAATTGGTAATATAAAACACATTTTATGTTTTCTATTTTACCATTTATATTATGTTTATATTTTAGAGTTGTATTTTTCATTTGATATTTTTTAATATTTTTCATATAATTTAGATTTATATGTAAAATTACACACACATGCATATATGTATATATACTTTGTATTATTTTATTCTAGAATTATATACTATATTTCATACTAATTATATACACCATATTTATTTTTGTTATACTTTTTATATATTCAGTTCAACACAAATTATAAATAGTTTCTTATTACTTTATAAATAGACATCTATATTTTGTATTATGAACTTGTATATTATATTATATTATATTATATTTTTATCTTCTATTTTTTAATTTTTTTAATTTTTTAATAGCAATTTTGACACTTTTTAATGGTGGGGGGTGATATGCACTACTTAGTAGTGCATAAGTGTATGTTTTTATGATTGATTTGTGTGGACTGTGGATTGTTTACAATTTTATTTAGTTTGTAAACATTTGTGTGCTTTTAGTTGTATTTGTATTTTAGTTCTCATTTGTAAGTTGTAAAGTAGAGTTTGGATTTATGCTGTTGGAAAGGAAGACTTTGAAGTGAAGAAAAAGGGAGATTAGACTTTCTAGGAGCTGAAACCCGACCGGGTATAACACTTCACCCGGTCGGGTAAGATTTAACAGGCGAAAATAGCTGGAAATTACACAGACCCGGTCGGGTCCCTTACTTGACCCAGTCGGGTCAGATGTGACCCGATACACCAGAACATGCCGAAGATCGCCAGAATGTGAAAAATATCTGATTTTGACCAAACCCGGTCGGGTCAACTAGGGGACCCGGTCGGGTCAGACACGACCCAGGACCAAACGACGTGCATAAACATGAGAACATGGCAAAATATTTGATTTTGACGTTTACCCGGCCGGGTATGTCCATTTACCCGGGCGGGTCAATGCCCCAGGGTGTTGAAAACACCTATAAATAACCCCATTTTCCTTCACTTTAAGATCATCCCTTCTTTCTTATACTTAAGCTCAGTTTAGAATAGTTATTTCTTATATTTTTATAGCATGTTTAGTCTCCAAATGAGGAGCTAAACTTCCATTTCTTGGTTTTGCTCTTGAAGCTTGTTGATTATTAAAGTTGTGAGTTATTTTCTTACTTTCTCCTCTTGATTATTAATTCTTCCCTTAATCTCATTCTATATTAATGTTGGAGGGTTGCTAAGTGACGATTAGTTAACGTTCCGACATTGATTATTACTAGAAACGATCAACGAACCGATGGTTAATCGTTGATGGTTTCACAAGTAAGTAACTTCGGTTTATTAATGCACGGTCGTGGTTAATAAACTTAAGAGGGATTAATTTTGTTGGTTAAACCGAAACCGTTGCGTTGAGGTTATCAATCTCAATTGATTTCATCGAGGAGTTAAAGAGATTGAATGCTACTATTATATCGGTATACGACGTTGTTCTATATTTGATTAATAGTAAGGGTTATTAATGAACGGTCGTTGTTAATAACTACTCTCGATGAATTGGAGATACTCCTCGATTGAGTATTCGAGAGGGGATAAGTTATAGATATAACAATGATCGACTAAAATATATCAACAAGTGGAAAGTAGCAAGACCAAGTTCTTTTTTATCTTTGATTTAATCTCATATAACTCGTTCATCTTCGTGTTTAATTTAATTAAATCACTCAACAATCAAAACCCCCCTTTTTATTACTAGTTACATAAAAAGAAAGTTATTCCTTTCCCTGCGGATACGAACTCTACTACGCTATACTACGTATAGTTGTTAGTATTGAATTTACTTTGAGTGCACACATGACAAAGTGCACGTCGGGGGGGGGGGGGGGACTGGACAACTCTGTCGGGTTCAAGGGCCTATTTGGCCCCTTAAATTGCCACGCGGGATGCACGGTTGGCGTTTGACTGGGTGGCATAGCTGGACGTTTATCTGCAAAAAATGAGATTTGAACTTTTTTGTCGAGATCAGGAGGTGAATTTGATATGAAGCAGAATCTGGGTTTCAAAGAAGAGGGGAAGAAGCCCCCGTGGGTTTACCGAAGGCGGGACGGGCTTGAGCCTACCTTCG